AAAAAAATAATGGTGGAAGTATTTTAATTCCTTATAAAAAGCTTGAAAATTGATGCGAACTGTTGGTTATGATATGTGAGTATGGAGGTACTGGTTCGAATCTGCATCCAGATCCACAAAACGTGCATTCGCAATTTCCTATGCGTAACAGTAATATTAAATCATATTTTGTCTTTCATGCGTTTCGTCTTCTTCGTGTTCTGTTTATTCTTTTTTTTTTCTTGCCTTAAGTTTTGATTTAACTAATTCTTTAGATTTGACATCATGTAATTTTTGTTTATTCGAGTTAATCGCACGAAAGCTGAACGATCAAAACGTTTTCAAATCACTGCTCTTACACTGTAAACAAAGTCATGAATTTTTTTGAATAAAGAATAGTATAGAAAACGTCCAACAAATGGATTTAATGAATTTATTTGTATATGTCTTTTTTATTCGACCAACATGACTTTTTCTAAATCCTATTATGTATAGATGACTAGTCATTAGAGAAGATCAGAAAAAAGAAAAAGATACACATTTAATCTTTTCATTCGGAAATAAAATACCTCCACCATTACTATGTGTTGTCCCGAAGTATATTAACACTTACTTATATCTCGTGTTGGTGCTAAAACAAGAGCACGTGGTGCTCGATCAGCTCCTAATTCAACGGATTTATCAGCTTGAAGTAATTCAACAATAGGAATTGCAAAAGCCAATGTTTTGCCAGTTCCATTAGATGCTTGAATTAAACAATCTTTTTGTTCATGAATGGATGTATAAGTGTCCGTTTGAACTGGATAAAGAAACTCAACATTACGAGCTAAAATAAAATTATTATTATTATACTTCCGTTTTTACGAAAAAATGTTGTAAAAGAAAACAGAAAAAACCGGATTTACCTTTAAGTTTCTTAATAGTCTTTTTCGAAATATTAAAATTTTTAAAATTTCCTTTTTCTTTATCTTTTTCGGTTAATTGAATATTTGTTGTCTCGTTTAATCCATTATCTTCTTGAGAATTTGTTTGATCTTGTTCAAATTCTTATATTCAATGAAGACAAAAAACATGATCATAAATTATTTTATAAATAAATAAAATCTACCTTCAACAGCACTTTGATTTTGTTTTTTATGTTTCATTTTTTTTTATATGAAAAAAAATCTTGACAATGGAAATTTAACGAGATCTAAAATGATAAAATCAATATTTGTTTTTTTTTTTTTCGTTTTTAATTTGACATGTATATTTTATTTTACTATACAAGTTTATAAGAGTAAAGATAATGTTAAAAATAAAATATGAAAAATATATTGAAGTTTTAACTATAAGTTTTTTCTAATAAATTCAAATATTCGATCTTCCATATAAATTCTTTCCTCAAGTTTTCTTGGCATATGACGTTCATCAGGAAAAAGTATAAGTTCATAAGGTTTATTTGCTCGTATAAGTGCATTTATAAGACGAGCTGAATGACGAAAATGAACATTTTCATCAATTAAACCATGTATTATCATTAAATGACCAGTTAAATTATTTATATGGTGCATTACACTTGATACAACATATCCAAGAGGATTGTCTTCTGGTCTACCCATATATCTTTCTGTATAATGAGTATCATATCTAAAAAGGAAAAAAAAAAGTTTCAAATATACATATTATTATAACAATTATATATACCCATCCCAATGTGTAACTGGTGCACCAGCTACTCCTAATTTAAAAACTTCACTTTGACGAACTAATGCCATAGCAGACATATAACCACCATACGACCAACCATACATACCAACACGTGCTTTATCTGTAAGACCTTGTTTGATAAGATAATTTATACCGTCAACTTGATCTTCAAGTTCCAAATGTCCCATATCATATCTAATAACACTTTCAAAAGCTAAACCTCGGTTTGAACTACCACGATTATCTAAACGTAATACGACATAACCAGATTCAACTAAACGTTGACAACGCATATCTGCACGAAGCGACCAAGAGTTTACTACACTATAAGAGAGGAAAAGAAAACCAATAAATTTAAAAAGTAACTTTAATCTAATTTCATCTATAGAACATACCGTTGAAGATGTGGTCCACCATAAACTGATACAAGTGTTGGATATGGTCTTTGATATTTTCTTTGTTCATCCTCTGGTTTATAAACAGCACAATAAAGTGTATCATTATTTCTATTTTGTATTTTTACTAATTGAGGTTTAACTAGATGAAACTGTTCTATGATTTGTGATTGTCCTTGTTGTAAATGATCTAAAATTTTAACAATTTTTTTCTTTTTTACATCTAACATTCTTATAATTGGATATTGATCTATGGAATTCCATTGTGTTATACAACAGTCATATGTTCGATTAAAACAATGCACAACATGACAACCAGGTTCTTGTGTAATACGATCGATTTTTGGTATATCATCATTATAATTAACACTATATAAGTGTACTTCTAATGGAGTTTCACGATTCGCAAGAAAATAAATAAGTGAATTTTCTTCATCAATATCAATAATACGTTGTACCACCCATTCACCATTTGTTAATGATTTAATTAATTTTCCTGTATTTAAATCATATAATTCTAAATGCATAAAACCAGTTCGTTCATTAGCCCATATAAATTGTGTTGGCATTTTTTTTAATGTATAAAATAAATCATGTAAATTAATCCATGATTGACTTGTTTCTTCAATTAATAATTTCAATTGTTTTTTATTTAAAAAATCATATTGATATAATTGTAATTTTGTTTGTTGACGGTTTTCAATTTGTAAAGCGAGACTATTATCAGGAAAAAAATTAATACGTGCTATATAATAATCATGAAATGAACTTAAGTCAATCCAATGAATATTAGGTGTTGTTTTAGTATTATTTGCTAGATCAATAATACCAACAGTAACTTTTACATTGGCTTTACCAGCGAATGGATATCGATGTTCTTCACTCTAAAAAAATTGATAATAATTAAAAAAAAAAAAATTTTTTTTTCCGTCAAGTTTTATTTTACTTGATCAGGATTATCAGAACCTGAATGTGAAATACGAAATATAGGTACATTTGATTCATCAACTTGAGTGAATGCAATATAACGTGAATCATCTGACCACCAAAAACCTTTACTACGATTCATTTCTTCTTGAGCAATAAATTCTGCAAGACCATTTGTTTTATTTGGTTGACCACGTGCATCAAATGTCAATTGACGTGGTTGTGGAGACGTTTCAATTGTTGATACGCAATAAAGTTCACAATCTTGAACATATCCAACCAATGAACCGTCAGGTGAAAGTCTTGGATCAATAATTGCTGGTTGATTAGATCCATTAACCAAAAGACGAAGTTCTTTATCATCATGAATATATAGATCACTACCAATAGGTATAAGCATTAATGGTCGAGATTTATTTTTAGCCCATTGATAACTAGTTATGCCAGTGATTAATTGACGTTGACGCTTAAGTAAAAGAAATAATTTGTAACAATGTTTTAAAAAAAAAATTATAAAAATGTATCAAGCGAAAAGAAATTTATCATTAAGTTTTGTCTATTTATCAATATTGAAAACAGAATTTTTCACGTCTTCAATGAAATGAGATTTTTGAAAAAAATAATTATAAAAACAAATTTTTGTTAAAAATTTATACAAAAACTAATTAATCTCCAATGTATGATATAGTACAACTTGTTAATCACTGTACAACTCATATTTAAGACTATATGATGTAAAACAGTATAGATGCATTTATTTTTATATTCTATCCTTGTCGGATTCACACTACTATTTCTAGAGGACCATCTTGATAAATCATTTCTACTGATTGATTAAATCAAAATTTGAATTATTTATCTCCTTATTTTTCTTCTCCATATGATCTCATAACTGTCGTTTCCCGACCGATTAATAGCTTTTGCATTAGAACTATGTGCATCATGTTGTCTCTAACAAGCAATGAATCCATGGAAATAGTTCGAACCATCTAAGAAAACTGATTTTCAACTAAAAAGCTTACATAGAGACAGTTTATAACGAGAATGGTTTATAGCGAAAGTTTTAGAACTTTTGATTCACTCGTGATCTGCAATAATAACATCGAATCTGTCGACATTTACGAGTAATGTAAAAAAAAAACATGTTTTTCTCAATAACCATATCTTAAGATAGGAACAACGATAAGATCTGAAACTTACACCATAAACTATTCTCGTTAAGGTCTATCTCAGTACAAAAATTCAAGTCAAAATCCAAAAATCAGTTATCTTGGTGTTCTTGAGCAGCAACTCAGCATTGTACTAACCAATACTATCACAATAGAATACGTCCACAACAATAAGCTTAGGACTCCAACGCTTGTCAGGGTATTCATCACTCGTTAGAATCTCTATATGATATATATATATATAGTACTGACTCAAAGTCGATTAATCATTTAGGAAATTTCTGTCGTCAGTACTTTTTCTTTTATAGTTAAAATTTCAAAAATAAAAAACACACTTCACGCCGTAATTTTTCTTCCATTGAAAGGTTTTCTTCTGTTTTCCCATGATCTATATCAGGTTCAGCATAAACATATTCTTTTTCTGTCTGAATATTATATGCATAAAGTTGTCTTGTTAATGTTTGATTTGGTGAACGAAGATAAGTTAAAAAAGTATCATCGGGACTAAATTTTATTGATTCAGCTAAATTAAAACCAGGTTGTGGTAGTGATGCCACATCTTTGCTTGTTATTGGACGATAGGGCATCTACAAGGTATAATTATATTTCATTCAATACATATACATATATATATATATTCATTCTTGCACAACAACATCAAAAATATTTCAGATCAATTTTGATTGTAAGAGAAATTGACAACAAAATGCACAATTTGACTTAGCAGTAATATACAAATATAGTACGATACACAAAAAAGCACGAAAACAATATTTAACAAACTAAATAAATATGCATGAAAATATATAATTATATCGAGTTTAATGCCGCCAGTTTCTGTTTAAGTATGTTTCTTTTGTTGTAATTGATTCTGTGATTGTTCATATGATGGTGGCATTTGATAATTCTATTTTTAATTAAATTAATGCATTAATTTATTAAATGAAAAAACAACCAACCTGTTTTTCATTCGTTTGTCCATCACAACCATTATTTTGGTAGGCCATTTGAGATTGATATTGCATTGATGATTGGTATCCATCTGTCATTGAAGGATACATTGTGGGGTTATTTACATTCACTGATGATATATCAGGATATTGCGGAATGAATTCTGCTGCTGGTAAACCTGTTGATTGTCGTTGATAAACTCCTTCATATGGTGCTTGTGCTTGTGAAACATACATAGTTGTTTCTATGATTTAACCAAATAATACTTTATATAAAATATTCTTTTTTTTTCTAAAATTTCACCTGCAAAATGATTATTCATAGTCTGTGCTGCTTGATATGATGGTGGTGGTGGTTCATAAAGATTAGCTGCAGCTATACCATAAGAACTATAATCAACAGAATAAATAAAAAAAAAAAGATTGCAAAAACAAAAACTTACGGTGGACTTCCTTCAGTTCCTTGATGAACTAAAAATATGAAAAAACAAAATTGTATTTTGATTGGTACATATAACAATAATGACTCACAAATCGAATTGACTTCACGTAATGCTGTACTCGCTTCAATGGCACCACCCGATGAATAAGTTAATTGAAATTTGACTTCACCTTGAAATCCACCTGATCAATAAACAAAAGAAAAACAAGATAAATGTCAGTCAAACAAACATATATTCTTATCAATTGATTGATTTAAAGGCAAAATAAATACTACAACAAAACAATACAATCAATTCGACCATGAGAATGAAATCAATCGTATATTTCGGTTTTTTCGTCTTCATCAATCATATTCAGATTTGTATTTGTGCTAAATCTGAACCAGATTATTATCAATATTTAGAACAATTTGGTTATACACCTAAACTTCAAAATCGACTCTTATCAGTATTGGATAAAACAAATGCTAATGAAGGTATTAAAACATTTCAACGTCTTTATAAATTACCTGTAAGTTATATTATTTAATCGTTTTACATATTAATATGTAATTATTTAGGAAACGGGTAAACTTGATGAACAAACTAAAAAACTTATGCAAAGACCACGATGTGGAAATCCAGATATAGGTATTCTTCATGCTAAAAAACATTCTATTAATGATGGTAGACTTAGATCTTCACCATCAGCTAAAATGAATGATCCTGATAGTTATGTAACATATGAAAAATCTTGGCCGACAAAACATTTAAAATGGTATATTGAAGAATATCCAAAACAACAAAAACAAATAAAATCTCATGAAGATATTCGTCGTATAATAAATCAAGCATTTTCTGATTGGGAAAAACATTCTGGACTTACATTTGAAATGGTTAAAACAAAAGAAGCAGCCAATTTCAAAATAAATTTTTTTTCGAAGGAACATGATGATGGATATCCATTTGATGGTCAAGGTACAACATTAGCACATGCTTTTTATCCAAAAAAGGGTGATATACATTTTGATGATGATGAATATTTTACAGATGATTATACAAATAAGGATGAACATTATACATTAAGACTTGTTGCTGCACATGAAATAGGTCATGCACTTGGTTTATCACATTCATTTGAAGAAAATTCTCTTATGTTTCCTGTTTATCAACAATTTGATTCAAATTATAGTATATCAAATGATGATCAAGAAGGTATTCAAAGTTTATATGGTAAACCAGATGAGAAATCCAGAACAACAACTTCATCAACACATGTTTCTGACGGATTACCAATAGATAATTGGTGCTCAGGAAACTTTCAAACAGGTTGTGAAGGTCCTGATGGTGATCTTTATTTATTTAAAGACACTCATGTATGGAGATATCGTGCACGAGCAAAAACTGGATGGGATCCTCAACCAAAATTAATTCGTGAACGTTTTCCACCTTTACAAGATACAACAGTAACAGCTTGTGTTAGATCATCAACTGGTTATGTATATTTATTTCATAAGAATGATATGTGGAAAGTCAGAACACATTGGTCTATTGAGGGACCACATAAAGTACGTGGAAAAAATTATCCACAAAGTCCTCGCATTGCTTTATTTCATAATAATTCAATATATTTATTACAAAATGATTTAGTTTATTCTTTAAATGAATTTAATTATAATAGAGAATTAGGTGTACATACTATTACGACAATACTTGATTCATCACCAAAAGAATCAATTCATTCAGGTTTTACATATGATAAACGACATTATATATTTACAAGAAATCATGTTTATGTTTATGATTCAACAGATGGAAAATTATTGACTGGCTATCCAAAACCGATAACAAATGGTTGGTTTGCATGTGATACCACATTACAAGCACAAAAAGGTAGAAAGCAAACAATAAAAGAATATTCTAGAAATGATGAGCGAAACAATTATTATGATCGTCATCGTCATCATGATCATAATCGTCAATATGGACGAAAACGACCATTTCATCATTATCCTCATGAAGATCATCATCAACGTCAATGGAATGATTAAAAACATGCATTATCGAAATTAAAAGAAGAAAAGAAAAAAAAAAGAAACATGAACTTACCATTTGGATGTGAAGCAGCTATACCCGAAATATAATTTGCACCAAATAAAGGTTGTTCAACATGTAAATTTTTGATATACATAAAAGCTACAGCAAATGATTGTAAATTATCTCGTTGATCATCATTAAGAAATATCATTCGATGAGATGTTACAAATACTTTTCCTTTATGTTTTCCACGAAATACTTCACCACATTGTCGACTAGTATCATCAAATGATAATGTTACATTCTTCGAGTGATTTACAATTCTAATGAAAAGAATAAATTAGCATAGTACATTGTAGTGATAGACTTAAAATTTCTGAAAAAATGGAAAGTGGGGCGATCATGGTGGTACAAATTGTTTTGAAGTTTATTAGAGATCGTGTCGGTTCATTTTTTGAGCATTATCTTCTGAGAAAAATCGAAAAATATTTCCAAAAAAAGAGCGATCGCCTCCCAATAGTCTTCCCTTTATATCAATCACTCTTCTATTGATTTACTTACTGTTCACCTTGATAAAGTAACAGACCATTTTGATAATGTGCTTGATTAATTGACATTATTGATATGAAGATGTAAAACTTCGAGATAATCAGTACAAATGTTTTTTTCCTTCGCAATAATAAAAATGAGATTCTACTATTAGAAGTGAATAAATGAACCAATCAAGTTATACTTTCCAGTTCATTTTATACCTTCGAATTAATAAATATGAAAAATTATTTTTAAAAATTTTGAAGATTATGCAAAGTATTTGAGAAAATTAAAATAGAAAAGCTAAAATCTAAATTATTTGTATAGTTTATAGATTAGATGATAGCGTCATCTATTGAACAAACAAAAATTGAATAATAATTTTGAATTAACGCGCTATATTTATTTTTTATACTTGTATTGAAATGTCTGAAAATCGTAGTCGTTCATCACCAAGCAATATAACTAATAAAACATTTGATGATATAACTCCAGAAGAATTAGCTGAATTACGAGAAGCTTTTCGTGTATTTGATCAAAATGGTGATGTAAGAAAATAGAAATCTTTCAATTAGATCTATTCAGTATATACATATATATATATATATTTCAGGGAAGTATAACACTTTCAGGTTATTTTTATTTTATTTTTAAGTTTTCTATATATGAGAATATTGATAATAGAATTACGTATTGTTCTTGATCAAATGGGTTTAGATCCAACTGAAGAAGAACTTCAGGATATGATTCGTGAAGTTGATGAAGATCAAAGTGGTACTATTTCATTTGCAGAATTTGTTGGTACCAAAGAAAAAACCTCAAATAATTTATTGTTCCATAAATTTCAATGTTAAGATATGGTTAAAAAAGCAGTTGATACAAACAAAAGTTCACGTGAAGAATTATTTCGAGCTTTTCAAGTATTCGGTATTAATAAATATTCAGAAAGAAAAGATATTCATGAAATAACTTTAAATGAGTAGATCTTGATCAAAATGGATTTATAACAATGGAAGAACTTCGTACAGGTATCAATTAATAAAACAAGACAATATAAGTTTTATTCAAATTATAGATTAATATTAATACTTAGTGACATCAATTACATGACTGTTTTTAATGGAACAAGAGGCGAGAATGGGACTCTACAGAACCTTTGCTGCATCAAAATGAAAAAAAAATATATTTCTCAGCCAATAAAAATATGACATGTGTCGTCATCCAACCATTAACACTCATGACTAAAGTTTATATTAGTCCATCTATTGAAGAATCTGTTGAGACTATTTTCTGTAATACAAGTTTTCCTAAATGTATTTGTTTTCGAAAACACCACTTCAACTTACAGGTGAATTTGCCATATCGCATAAATAAATCCTTAGCATAGTTTTTCTTCATTTTAATATTAATCTATTGTTTTTATTAGTATAAGATTACCATGTTTAGATCTTAATAAGCGTTGATCTACCCAAGATTAACAAACTATCTATAACTTTTCGGAAGCTATTTCAGGCGTATAGCTACAAGTTTTGAAGCGCTATTCTTTTCTTAGAATTATGAAGAATGTTTCTCGCATGGGGCTACTAGAAATTTAAGATCAATCACCTGATGCTAAGCCTATCACCTCTTAGTCAGCTAAGCATAAATGACTTGACACATTTTTTGAGAAAGTTTGATAGGTTTCCGATTGCATAATATATACTACCGTTTTTCATATTCGAATACATTGACGAAAATAAATGAGTTGTTTGAAAGAAAATATCAATGAACTTAAACTAAACTATCTTCATCGATTATCATGAATCCATATCGAAATGATAGTATAGAGCTGAAAAGCATCTAAAAAATTGCATAGCTTTCCAAACTGCAGTATTATATTCATCAACAGGTGCCAACCTCGTCTCTGCACAAGATAACTCTAGCTTGATCCGCACATCGCTAAGACCAGTCCTAGTTATATCCTAATGGTTAAAGATATCAATCTAAAATAGCTTGTGAATCTTGGTTGAATCAGCTCGTTTGTCGAGAAATTTTCAAATAGATCAATTCCTAAAATCGAAAATATCATCAAACTAATATATTCTTAATCAAAACTAAATAAAGTGGAAAACGATAATACTTGCATCTATAATAATAGCATTATCCTAAAACTAGTAGACTTGTGTTATGAATTTCAAACAGACTGATGTTTTATCATTTTTTGACTTGGAATAAAACGTCAGAGATATGTAAAATAATTGTTCGAATCCCTTTTCTGAGCATGCTTTAATGTTTATTGGCACTTATCCATGACAATTTTACTCTTGTTTTTTTTTAATGATTTCCCATTACATGACACTATCTTATTATATATCCAATAAAAATCATTTATAGTCGAATATTCTTATTCTAGTTCTTCAAGCAACTGGTGATCGTCCAACAGATGAAGATGCTCTCGAAATGATTGCTGAAGCAGATATTGATGGCGATGGACGAAGTAAAAACAAGTCTCACTCTATCAAAAAAAAAAAGAACAATCAATCTTTCAATATTTTCAGTTAATTACGATGAATTTGTACTAATCATGACCAATAATACATCACCGAGAAAATAATCATCATATGTATTTCACGACAAAAAGAAAAAAGAAAAACGAGAACAAAAAATGAGATAAATGAATAATAACAAACACAATTTCGAGGAATTAACACACAATTCAATAGAAGAAGAGAAAAATGTGTATCTACAATTGAAAAAAAAAACTGTTCGAAAAAAAACCAATATAATAAGTTACACTTGTTCCAATCTAATACTTTAATATATAACAAAATAAAACAAAAAATAATTCAACTCTGTCATTCAATTAAAAAAAAAACAAATTCACATATATAACAAAACAAAAAGAAAAAAAAAAGAATGACGAGTATAATATTTTGTTTTTTCTTTTTCTTGCTTAAGATCGACTACCACAACATGTTGATTTTTTTGTTGTTTTATCTAAATTAATGCCAGCTGTACGAAAACGTTCTAAATCTTCATTACATTGCATGTCTCTATCAAAAGTAAAGACATAAAATTGTAGATTTTTTTAAAATTTTCTATTAAATAATAATTGAATACATACCGAGCTAATTCAATAAGTGCTTCATTTGAATTAGTACCATCTTTTGCACTTGTTTCAATAAATAATGCTTGATATTCCTAAAGAAATAGAAAAAAAAAAAAGAGTATTTTTGAAATTCTTATTGATATTCATATTAATGAAAACGAACTCTAGCTAATTTTGCTCCATCATCATGTTCAACAACTCTTTTGCCTTCTGCACGCATTTGATCTCTTAAATCAATTTTATTTGCAACAATCATAACTGAAACTTTTTTTGATGTGGATTCTGTTATGGTATCAATCCATTCTCGAACATTTAAAAATGATCGTTCATATGTTGAATCATAAACAAGTATAACACCATCACATCGACGAAAATAAGATTTTGCAATACTTCGAAATCTTTAAATAGGAAAATAATATTCACAATAATAATCAACATTTTTTATTTCTTATTTTTACCTTTCTTGTCCAGCTGTATCCCATAATTGTACAGCAATACGTTTTGAATCTAATTCAAGTTGTTTATTTTGAAAATCAACACCCAATGTAGAATTTATATTTGAAACAAACTTTCCTTTACATAAACGCATTATTAAGGTACTTTTACCAACAGCAGCATCACCACAAAAAACGACTTTATACATACGACTAAATAAAAACAAAACTCTTATGATTGTATATCAACAACGTTTGTCACGTTTGTGGAAGGAAGATTCCAGGTTTCTTCCTTTTAAAGGATATTTCATAAGTTTTGGATCTCGACGAAAATTAGTTTATTTGAAAACAAAGAGTTATTCCAACCCAATCAGATCTCTATGAGCTTTGAGTATTTAGGACGATATTTTAAATGACATATAATCCGATGTCATCATCTCTTTTAATAAAGGTGATATAAATAGAAGAAATATGATAATTAGAATGTGAGTACAGATAATAGTCACATCCACGTCCTAGGTGTAACGTATCGTTTTTCTATAATTATGTTATGTTACATACGATGAATTCATAGATTATTAAAACTTCTTAAAAAATACTAATTGATTTTTCGAGATTTCAATTATCATGTTTCTTCTATTAATATTACTATTATTAAAACAGATAACGCTGTCAGGTTCTATATCATTTAAAATATCATCCAAAGTACTTGAAACTCATCTAAATAGAGTTATGTAGAAATTATTCTTTGTTGACATATAAATTAACTTTCATTGAGATCCAGAACTTATGAAATACTCTGTATACTTTAACACTTCCATAAGGTTGTGTTTTACAAAAAAGAGATAACGAAAAACAGTCAAAGAATTTCATTTACTTACTCAAATGGATGATTCGAGTTGGTTTGCTCGTTTTGGATATCATTTACTGTTGATTCACTATGCTTTTTTGTAGATATAGGATTCATTGGTAATGATTGATTGATGAGATTTTTTGATGATGAATGTCCATTAACAGATGTTCGTTTTGATGATCGTTGTTGAGACCATCGTTTGGGATTATTACGATCCATTGATTTCTATTAAAATTCAAGAGTTTGTTTTTTTTTTCTCCATAGAAATCAACAGTCACTTATACCTCATCAAAAACATCATCAGAATCAGTATCATCATTATTTCGTTTCATTGGCATCGATCGATATGGTTTGGAATTTTTTAATATTTGTTTATTAGATTTTACATCACGATCTGATTCAAGTTCAGTTGCATCACGTACAGTTGTTAATGACAAACCGCTATCTATTTAAATCAAATAGAAAAACAAAAGAAACCATTGATTGATTATCATGATTAATATATATATATGTATATATGAAGAACTTTAATGAGGCTAAAGCTTGAAGAATAAAAGAAGGCTTTCGGCTTTCCCAATGAATCATAGAGATATTTTTCGATCCCATATTCACATGCAAAAACAAACCATTCATAGTATTGTTTCTATGAGCATTATCAGAAGAAAATAAACTTGTTGTTGCTGGTAAATTTTTTTGTGATGAAATATCAGCAACATCTAATTTGAATTTAGATGAAGATTTGTTTCCATTAATACCTAGTTCATCAGTTGATTCGACATCGAATGAATCAAGTCTTCCAAGATGAGCTTGTTGTTGAGCTGTTGATACATATGATGATGATGAACTAATTTATATAAATAAGAATTTAATAAATATCAAGAAATTCTTTCGTCTTTGATCTTTATGAAATTTCTCAGTTTGTGACATTACTACAGTTTAAAAATTGTTGATCTAATTGTCTTTCAAACTGATAGTGTGGTTTTGTTTTCCAGTTTTAGCACTGAATTTTCAAGTTTTTGTACAACTAATCCAAGCTATGAAACATATATCAAAAATTCGAGATATTTATAATAGAGCTTCTAATGAATTTTCAACTTTATAGTAAAATTTCATTAAACTATGATCGATTAATAAAGTTTGATCAATTAAAATCGATTATTTATATATTCCAGTAACCGACTTTTTATCGGAAAAAAATGGCTGAAAGTCAGATGTTTTTCTTTCTAAAGAGGTTACAAGGTTCGACCCCTAGATTAATGACAGCCTAAGAATAGAATTAAAAATAGTTGAAACACAAAATCTTGTGTGATCCTTTCTTTGATTTAAACATTTATGCGAACGAAGAGCGAGTAAATATAGGACAGAAAACAAAGAAAAAGCAGACAAAACTTCAACAATTATAGTCTACCGACTAAATAAAATGTTAACATGCTGGTACGAGACTAACATATTTAATTGACTTAAGTATTTCATTAGTTTAGTTCGTCTACTGAAATATATCGTTCTTGTTTTGACACGTCAGCATTTGTTTTTTGGCAAATTGCTAATACCAATTTGTTTGTCTATTCACCTTGAAAAATTTTGTTTTTATTCAATAAAATATTTCTGTCTGGTTATTCTTTTCTTTTGCAAACAAACTGTCGTTAAATTTGCATAATAAAAGAATATTAATGCTGATAAATAAACTTAACCAGAATAATAAGTCAAACTAGCTTTGGGAAATTTTTTATCAGACAGACAGTGCATGGGTAGATTTATTTTTGAAGGAAAAAAAAACCATGGGTTAATGTTCGATATGTCCAGCTTAGTCTATTCGGATCCTTAATTTGTAACCCATGATAATATGATTAAAAACTAATCTAAAAGTCATTCGAAATCATCGACTGTAATGACTTAAATAGTAGTAGCAAACTTGATGTACATAAAATATTTATCGTTTTTTGTTCTATAAAAATTATAGTACATTCGAACATCGACATTTATGAATAATTCTCATAATTAATGGTACTCAAAAAGAAAAACCATTTTCTGATAGATAAATTTTATGATATGAACATACCATTCAAGTTTTGGATGATGATTATTCCAATAATTTTCAAGAATTGATCCACTTCGAGACATTGATCTTTTTGATACTAAAGAAAGCTATAATAATGACAAAGAAAATCGTTTTTTTTTTTTTTTTTTTTACAAAATATTTTAATGAAATACGAACATCACAAGAAGAAACATTGGCTTTATTTGATTCGATTACAGCACGTAAAGCGTCATTTTCATCACGAAGTTTTTTATTAACTTCTCTATAAAAACAATCAATGAATAAAATTTCAAATCATTATTAGTTATTTTTTTTTTAATACACAAGTTGGCGAACATTTGATTGTAATGATTCTTTTTCATGATAATTATTTGATGATACTTGTTTTTCTCTAAATAAAATATTTATTTTATATTACAATTTAATCTCCTACAGACAAAATTAAATTAAAAAATAAAAAAATAAACTACGTATCTCTATTTGTATCGTCATCGAGCGATCACATAAAAATGGATATTTTTGGAGACTAAATCTAAAGTTTTTTCCTAAAGAATTTTTATGTCAGGATTAACTCATCGTCTAAGTTTGAGTACTTGCTATAGTTCAACTTTAGAGAAAACATCATCTATTGATTTTATATTCAAAATCTGAATACTGTAATCTATCGTAACTTTTCTGTTTTATTGAATTATAATCAAAATTAATTGATAATTGTGTTTAATGTACACTTCGACTTTCCTATCATTGCTTCTAAACTCAGTTATGATTGTCTGTTTTAAAGAAAATTGTGAAAAAAAAAAATAAATATAAACAACAATAAAATTAAATCGATAATTGTCAAGTATTTTGAGGTACTTAGGGAGTGTCCGTAGGCGCGTTTCGAATGGGTTGAATATCTTCGGACGTGAGCAACTTTTGCTTTTTTCCAGTGAAATTTAACAATTTTCTTGTTCATTGATCTATGCAACAAGTATCTATCTCCTCCAAGCTTAGTGATCTCAAAACACTCTTGGGTATGGATGTACAAATGAGCAATATATATAGTTTAATTTCTTTAACTATTTAGTTTTGTCTGCGAGAGAATATCTTCATACTGTAAAAGCATTGTTTGATGTTCATTTAATTGAGTTTTTAAAGATTGTAAATCACTTTTTAATATTGCAATTGTAGTCAATGAATCATTTAATGATGTATTAAGTGTTTGATTTTCTTGTGTTAATTTAGAAATTTCTTCGCGTAATAATACTATCGATGAATCTTCATTTGATTGACGATCAAGATAACATTTTTCAATCTAAAGAAACGAAAAAAACCAAAGACATTATTTTTCTTTTTACGATACAAAACTAAAAACATGAATATACAGCTTGTAAACGTTGAAGATTTGCTTGTAGCTCAGCTATTTTTTTTGATGTACGTTGTTGAATTAATTCGCGTTCAGATTCAAACTTCTGTTGTTCCTATTGAGAAAAATTTTTCTTTTGTATATTATACAAAAATATAAAAAACATTGATAAAAATTTACTTCTTTACGAATTTTTGTTTCTAATTGATGCATTTCACGTTCTTGATCTTCTTCAATACGTCTTAAATATTTTTCATTCATTTCTTTTTCTCTATACATTTATTTAAAATAGTTTATTAGAAATATTCTATTTGATTAATTACCGTTTATAAGAATCTTCTAATCGTCTAATTTCTTTACGATATTTGATTATATCACAAACAAATACTTCAAGAATTGATTGAAATTGTTCTATGGATTCACTCGATCCATTTCGTAATGTTTCATAAAAATCATAAATTTGTTCTTGACTAAATAAACAAATAAAATTCGATTTATATTTGATAAATAACAACTTACAAATCAAAAGTACCAATCATTTGAATAGATAAATTTCTTTGTTGAAGAAAATTATTTAATGATAATATCTTTTGTTTACTAATCTCATCGATTAATGTCATGTTTTTTTTTTTCTTTCCCTTTTCGAAAGTCTATTTAAAGTATATGTTAAGTTTGTCGATTATTTATTTGACTGACTTTATTACAAATCTCGAACAAGTACTTATTTTCTCTTCTTGCAACTAGGACCAAATGGTGCCTTATTTTCTTCTTGTTTTTTCTTTCTTACTTTAGAGTATCTATTCAATCAAGAAAAACATTTGCCTCGTTTACTTACTTAGAAAAGATATTTTCACTAATGCCATTAGCATCGATTACATCCATCATACAATTTTGAACAATCGAAATTGTTAATATTTAAAAAGAAAAACTGTAGTTTGTGATGGGAATAAAACACGGATCGTTTGTCTATGTCGTTACGATTATTTTTCTGTCTACTCGTTTTTCGCCTTGTTGTTCTTCTTCTTCTTCTTCGTTTCTTTCTTCTCCTTCTCCTTCTCTCTTCTTCTTCTCTTACAGTAAATGTACATAACTCCGTACACAATTATGTTTACGCAAACAATTCGATACTCTTTTAGCTAGTCGACATTATTTCGGCTTTTTTTCTTTTCGCTCAGGTGAGCTTATTTAAGGTTAATTGTCCTAAAAGTAAAAGAACGAAAAACGGTTACTGATACATAGCAAGTGTTAATTCGACCTCCAATAGTCTGCAGAACATTTTTTTTTTTATATTTTATTATGTAAATATATCGATATACACCTTGGTCACAACTTATCTTCATGAGAAAGTTTCTCCTTATTAAAATATACTATATATAATCGCTATAGTCAATAAATCGTCCTAAAATGATTATATTTTTTTCATACCATGATAGATTATTGAATACTTCATTGATTTGTACTTGTGCTATATTCGTTGTTAAATCTTCTTCATCTTTATCAATAGTACTGTCATAATTAGTTAATTTTTTCTTACGTAATAAACAATTATTATCATTTGGTTTAATCAGTTCTTTAAAGCCATTTGTAAATTCTTTTAAACTTATACGATTATCATGATCTGTATCAAGATCATTGAATATGATTTCAATTTCAGATGGAGATAAATGTGGACATATATGTTGAAGTTTTTCTTTATTAAGATAACCACTTCCATCTGAATCGACTATTCGAAAGATTTCATTGATATCATCAATATCATTCATTGTTAAGTATATAGAATCCAATCGTCTAAATAATAGTATTTTTTTATCGTTATTACTTCGTTTTTTTTTGCTCTTTTTTTTATTCTTTGCAGCCGATACCAACGACAAGTTGTAACGATTGCGCCAGATGTTCGTTATATTCTGTGAAAAAAAAACGAAAGAGAGCAAGAAATAAAAGAAAACAGAAATAAATAAAGACTAAAGACATTCGTGAATTACAAGCAAGCAAGCATCTAAAAAAGCCAATGACTATTTCTTTTTTATTCTATCTGATCCATAAAAAATGATTAATTATATTGACATAAAAAATAGAAAAATAAATTTAAGATTGAAAATAAAATCTGAATAAAAGAATAAAAAAAAAAAAGTGTATTCAAACGATACATTCTATAACTAATCATAAATCAAATTTGGCTCAGGATGAGAAAGAATAATATTTGTATTGGATCTTGACCGTAATATGATTTATGTATGATCAACATTGTTGTATATTTCAATGAGAAAAACTGTATGTCATTCGTTATTGATTATCAACAGCAAAAAAAAAACTTCGTTATTCATATAAAAAATGATTTATATGAAATTGATTTCATCTGCACTGTCATACCATATGTTTTTCATATTATATCTAGTTGTTTTTTTGCTGTTTCTTAATATTTAAACTTTTCAAACTGCATAATAGTCTTGTCCAAGGATTGTTGATATTTTTTAGAGGTGCGAGCGATGAAAAACTCGGCGAAAACTTCGAAAACTCTTGCAAAAAGTGCTTTCATCGTCGCTGTTCTAGAAATGGTGACTGGGAGGGTAAACAGTGAAATTTACCATGACCTGATTTCTCTGAGAATGGATGACCTGCTACTAGGCCGTTCTTCCTTCGAGATTTGCTTATTCATATTTGAGAAAGGTAAATAGCGTTTCAAAATCTGTTGTTTGTTCAAATTTACCATCGAACTATAAAAATAGTTGGCAGAAAGTTGAAGATTTGGTGAGACTATGCTTTCTAATTCAAAAAGTTGCTTTTGCCAAGATTTGATTAACAAATTACCCTTAATATTTAGATATATTTTGTCTTTAATCAGAAAAGAAAAATTTTCTTTTTTTTTATATTAGTCTGTATAAACTGCAAAAACAGTTGCAATAGCAAGCATATCGTATCCTAATGGTGCATGTAGTGTGATTGATCCATCAGTTTCATGATTCCATAAACATCTTGATACAATAGTCAATGATTGATGTCGTTGTCTATCCGGTACTGTTTGTACAATAGTAACGAGTACGATAATTTTATATCGAGTGCTATTTAGTATATCAGGTTTAGTAAGACGACGTAATTTTTGTGATAAATCTTGAGCAAGTTCTCGACATAACTTTGGATTATATTGCATTAATTTTGATATAGCAGCACATCGACGATTAAGTTCAAATTGAAGAATTTTTTGTGCACGTGAAAAATCAAATTTTCGATAAGGACCAAAAGCATATCTTGATGTTTGTAGATTTTGATTAATAGCAATGGGATTCAATCCTTGAGCTTGATTAAAATTGACACTTCCTCGACGAAAAGAATAATTATACCAAGATGGAATTGCTACATTTACAGATGATTGAAAATCATGAGCATGTTTTGTTAGATTTACAACACGTTGAAGCATAGAACGAGTTGTTAAACGTTTTGACTCCATCTTGATTATTGTTATTGACGTTTTGTCGACGTTTATTAGAAAAAAATGTCAGTATTAAAAGGCAACTGGAAATCATAACTCTTCCTTCGTTTAAATTGAACATGCAAATATTATAATAGGAGTTAAAACGAGTATGTGCTTTTATGCTTGTCAATCACTTTTTTTTTTCTGTTAAATTTATGCCCTTTCACATCGCCTCAAATCTGACAACTAGAATGAATTTCTTTTATTTTGTCTTTTGTTGTCATGCAGATTCTTCTCGGCAACAGGAAAAATAAGAAAGAACCAGTCAAGCAATCAAAAAAGAGAGAGAGAAAAAAAAAGAATGACTATGTAAAAGAAAATATAATATGATGGTCGTGCTTGCTGGTTGAAAGAACGCAAACACACAACTGAGAAAAGAAAATAGGATAAAAAAACCACATTAAATTTTAACAGAACAAAAGTAGGTGTACACTATGATGAGCCAACATGAAATGTCAAGGCAACCAATAGTTTCTTTTCATTTTACATTAGAAAAAAATTTCTGTCTCAAATGACTTCACCACGTCGACAACAAATGCCTGAACTTGAAACAGCAACAGCACGGATGTCTATATCACCGCGAACAACACCAATCGATTGGAAATTACGTTATGAAACCTTACAATTTGAACATGAACTTGAATTAGACCGCATGCGTCTTCATTATGATCATGAACTTAAAGAGAAAATAACAGGTAAATAATTAATAGACTACATAAATTAAAAAAGAAAAAGAAAAATTTTTATTTGTCTTGTTTATTTAGAAATCAGAATACAATTGAAACGTGAATATGAATTTCAATTTTCTGAATATCGAGCTCGTTTATTCGAACAACAGCAACAACAATTACATAATTTAAGTTCAAATAGTCTTGGTCTTGATCATAGTATTGGTGAAAAAGTTCGTGAACAAGTACGTCTTGCTCAAGAATTTGATCGTAATGAAGATGAACGTCGACAATTCTTATTACAACAATCAACTGATAGTGATGAACTTAAACGACTTGTCAATAAATTACATACTGAAGGTAAAAGAAAGTTTCATGAAAATAAATTTATTTTTAGTAAATTATTAATTCTTGAGTTTTGATTGCATCATGATGTGTATAATTCTAACTGAACTATGCTCACAAAGAAAAACACAAATGATGAAACCTTTCAAATGATACATATATATATATATATGTACATGTATGTATGCATATTTTATGTACATATGTATATTGCACTCATAGTCATTTAATAGTGTATTAAAGTACACTAGATGAACTTTAATATTCTCTTTGTATTTCGAACAAATAAAGACAAAGCCATATTATCATTTATTTGTATCTATCAAATAGTTTGTCGGCACGAAAATCGATTAAGACAAACAGAATATAATTTTGTTTGATTTTGTTTCAATATACAAGAAGCACTTTATAGTTGACATTTCATTTTTGAACTCATCTATTTAGTACAACTAGAGAAGATTAAGAAAATCGATTTGTAATTATACAATGAAAATAAACAAATATCAATCTGAAATATTGTTCTTGTCGAGATCTCAGAGTTAATAGAATATTCTGAAAATTAAGGATAAAATAAAGATATTCTTTTTTAGAATGCTGAATTTACAATATTTTTGATTTTTGTATAATTTTCTTAAATAAAGTCGATTATATAATTCAATAATTCAAGGTAGGCAAACATTTAAAAAATTTTATAGTTATCAATTTAACTTCAGAGGTTCACTAGCATGAAAAACCATAATTCCAGTTAAAGGATTACAATTCAGACTAATCATCGGTATTGTTCATAATGTTATTACAGTTTTGATCAAAAGATGAACTGAAACACTAAGTATTATATTTATCAATTTCCTTATTAGTAAAAAAGAAAATCGACAAAACTGACATTACTTCTTGCTTTAACAACACAATGAACTGCTAGATAAAATTGGGTAAACTCAATTTTGGATCATAACTAAAAACATCGAAGTTTAGAAATCCTTGTAAATCTTAGATGGAGCAATTTTACTAAGTTTGAATAAATAGAATATAATAGAACATACATCGCCAATGCATAGCAGTAAGAGTTAAAGCGAGATATATAGTTAACAATAACCACGAGTTTTTAAAATTTTTACTTTCAATCAATATCGTAAGAATCTACAAATAAGTTTTTTCAAAATTATTTCAATATTTCTACACTACAGATGATACTATACATGTATCTATACAAGTTTCTTAATTAATACAAAAATTCATGTGATTTCTTTTTTTATCAGGTGTACATGTATTATCCTTAAGTGAACTTCTTTCATTACGATTAAATGGTATTAATATTAGTGCAACAGAAGATTCTATACGTTCATTACAAAAATTACATGAAGAAAATTCATCTCTTCGTTCACTTATTGCTAATATGAATGCAAATGAAACAAGTAATAAATTAATAAAATGTCTTGCTGATATATTTCGTTGTGAACAAGAACGTCGTTTAATACAAATTCGTCAACATCCAAATTTTGTTCAACTTGAACAAGAAATTCATGATATGCGTAATTATCAACGTGATGCATTAGGAAAATTTTTCTCTGAAGATCGTCGTTTATTAATTAATGAACTTGAACAAACAAAAGAACAATTAAATTATTTAAAAATTAAATTTGAACAATTAAAACAAATACAAAATCAACCAATATCAAATAAATTTTATGTTAAATATATGCGTTGTGAAAATCATCGAAAAGCTTTAGTATATCAAAAACGTTATTTACTTGTTTTATTAACTGGTTATGAAGATACAGAAACTTATGCATTAAATGAAATTCGACGTTTAACTGGTGATACAAAATCAAATTCTTATCCTTATACATATAATTATGATAAAATGAAATTTATACGTAAACAACCATATCATCGACGTCTTGTTGATTATCGATTTCGTTTTCGATGTTATGTTCAAGTTGTTATTGCTATGATTCGTATGCGTTGGCTTGTCAAAAAATGGGCACAAAAATTAGCTGATCATAAATAGATTTCCTTTTTTTTTCTGTTTTGTGTATCTGTTTTTACCATTCGCGCTATGAATATATATAGTATTAGTTTGACATTGATAGAATATAAATTCTTTTATCTCGTGCACATTTCAAAAAATGAATTTATTCGACTTTCTTGTTTTATTGAACTTAACAAACTTGACATTATGCATTTATTAACTGTAAGCTGTTTGATCATGAACTGAATGGCGTATTGCTTGATAAATCGGAGACATTCGTCTATGTGATAGTATAAAGAATACATATCTGTCTTTATTTTTCATACATGAAGCAAGAAAATGATGCCTTGAAATAAATGTATTTGTGATATCTTTCTTCTTTGTTCTTGCTGATAATTTCCGACGTACACATAGATAGTAATAGGAATACATGACTAGTGATGCGCATTATAGTCGAAATAAATTTTCTCGCTTTTCGTTTTCATCGAGAGAATTGATTCGATTTATATCAGTATTCGTTGAACACGTCGAAATTTATTGATTTATCTTAGCGAATAACAATTACTATTTCAAACATCGTATAACTAGAACTTGACAATATATTTTATCATGGGTCGTTTTGTTTTACAATTAATTATCTTACAATTAATAGTATTTGTTAACGTCTCTGGATTTTTTCTATCAAACAAAATAAAAACTGCAACTAAATATGAGCTTCAACAAAAAGTTTTCACACTTGGTACATCGTATACAGTTAAAGATGATGAAGGTCAATCTGTTTATAAAGTAAAATTCTGTATTTATTCTTAAAATTTTTATTTTGTTTGTTTATTAAGATTGGTTTTAAAAAAATCAGTCTTGGTAAACATCTTCAATTAACTGATATTTCTGGTCAAAAAGAATATTATTCAAGTAAAAACTATAATAAAATTGATCTGATTATTTATTGACTTTTTTTATAATTTAGTTAAACATATTCTTAATCCACTTGGTTTAGCTAAATATGAAATTCGTCAAAATGATGATGTTATAGCTGATGTAAAGTAAGTTTATACTTAAATTAAGATTTTCACAGGCAATATATCGATTTTAGACGCAAAATAAATCTTTTTGGTGGCACAAAATTTAAAATTAACTCAAAATATGGTGAGCTTAAAATTGAAGGTGATTTTGTTTCACGTGAATTTACAATAAAAAGAGATCATAAAATTGTTGCTACTATTTCAAAGAAATTCTTTGCAATTGGTGATAAATATGGTATTAAAATAGAACAAGATCAAGATGTACCATTTATATTAGCTTTAGCTATTGTTGTTGATGAAGTAGTTCATGATTAAATCAATTATGTTAGTTTAGGAATTATTTTACTCTTTCTCTAATGTGAATATATCTTTGTTTTTGTTTATTGAATCATTCTCTAAAGAAAAATAATTCATTTATAATTACAATAATAAAAAACAAACGAAAAATATTTTTATTCATGTTGATTGTTGATAGAGTAGAATTTCTATTCGAAAAGATTATATATTACAAATTCTCCTTCTTTATGTCTTATGATTGATGAAATCTTAAATGTTAAAACAAAAATTAGAGTGGAGTAAGTTTTAAAATTTTTTATTGAACATAGAAAGTAAAATACAAGATATATTATTATTATATAAAGATACTTAAAAAATCATTTCAATGGCCATCTCTGCGATTTTTCATATCATACTTTTCAATGTTCTAGAATTTATTGAAATACTAAAATTAATAACAAGAAACAAGCGACAAGTTTAATATCTATAATTTCTTCAAACTTCAATTTCAATTAATATCGATGAAGTTTTTACAAAATCCTAAAGATGCACAAGAAAATAATTTTAAACTATGATAATCAAAAAGAGTTGAATTTCCAAATACAAAATTTACATTATTCCCTTCCATTAGAGGCTTGCAATAAATAAGACTAGTCGGAATAAAGACATTCATCATTTATTCTTTCTTAACCCATCATATGTAATATCTATATTACCATAAGACACTGTACTTTATATGTAAAAAGAATTGTTTGATCTATTTCTACATAAATTGACATAGATATTTCGAAATTATTTAGGTCTAATATAAAATTATCTTTATCATTTTTCATATTTAGATTTCACTGATAGCTTGTCATCTGTGTTTTTTCAAACGTCTACATTTGTTTATTACAATTGAATAATTTTTTTTTTTTGTAATATATAATTTCCTTTTCCCCCCAAACTAACATTGAGATTCCCATCTCCCTTAAATAACCATATCCCCGAAGTCATAATAATAAATTTCATAAATCTAATATTTGTAAGATAATGTATTTTGTTTTTTATCTTCTTTCAAGAATATAAATCATTTTTCCATGTCTTGATGTATGTTGAATATGTGAATTGAATAATATATCTTTCACAAAAAACCATTGATCTTCTTCAAATACATCTTGTACTTGATTATATAATACATCAAACATAACTAAATGACTAGCATTAGAATTATTTAATCGGTTTTTTAATGATTCAATTGGTTTTAAAAAAAATTGATCAGCTTCATCAATATAATCATTTGTTATATTATCTAGATTTGGTTCACATGTTAAAAAATTTAATTGAATATCATTTCGATGAATAAAATTATAATATGGTGTCGAATGACAAGGCATAAGAAAATCGATTGAAAAACTTTCTTTATTATTATTATTGATTAAATTTCTTCGTAAATAATGCATAACTGATATTTGTCCTTGACGATCAATGAATGAAAAATAAAATCCAATACATAAATGTCCGATAAATGAAAGAAATATAATCCATCGAAATTTATTCCATTTGAGTTTTTTCAAACACCAATCCATTCCATGAGCTTCTAATATAAATAATATTGGTAAAATTTGTGTTAAAAATCGAAATTCTTTATGTTTATTTAATGTATATATAAATATTGTAAATAAAATAATTATTGTTAAACGTTTATTTGATATAGAACCAATAAAAATAAATGGCAAACGATAAAAAAATATCATTGGAAGACCATTTGTTAAATACCATAAAATATTATTTATACCATAATGTGATGATATTGAATTTGGATGAAAAAAATTTATATATAAAAAATTTAATGGTACAAATGTCCAACGATTATACATATAACTATCTAAGAGTATATTCAATATATTTAATAGAATAAAACATATAAATGCTTGAAAAAGAAATTTTAAACGATTCGAAGTTTTATATAATAAATACGGATAAATAATAACAAATGGAATAGCTGTTGTTGGACGAATAATAAATGATAATGAAACAAATAAATGGAATGTCATGTTAGATGATGATCGATAACTATGGAAAAAAAAGAACATATATTGAAATTGTTAAATATACTTTTCATAGCACAAGTTATAAAAGATGTATCAATAGGTTTTGAATAATATAAATAGTACTCATAGGATGAAATCATAGAGTAGAAAAATATTTTAAAGAGAGTAAAACTTCTGATCAAGATCGAGATACAATAAAATCTCTCTATGGGAGTACCTCTTTTTACTAGGCAGACTATAGTCCACTTCAGAATCGTCGCTCAAGAGGGAACAGCTTTATCCTTCCCAAACTTCTCTGGCAGACGATGTCATTACGAGATAAATAAGATTGGAACAGACCACGAGAAGCACTAATCAGATGGCAGCTCGTCTGTTGCAGAAGGACTCAAGTTACGATGGGTTTCGTTATTTCTCCTCTCAGGTACCACTTCTCTAACTTTGATGATAAAAGCATTTTCTGCTGAATTTTCAGTTCGTCTCACTCCTAAAAAATATCGACAACCTTGGTTCACCCAAACGAATTTTGCTAGCAATGAGTCTCTCAAACACCAACATCTCGTTATTCTGAACAATGAGTGCTTATTTCTGATTCAATGAGTAATAACAATCTCACTAATGTAAGTAACATATGTTGTATCACTTATGTGTAAAACTAGAAAATAATAATATTACATGTATTGCGTTATGATAAGCAGCCATCAGACATATAGAAAAAGCAGACTGTGTTAATAGCTAGTAACATCAATTCATGTCGAAACATGTTGATTTATTTCTGATTCAAAAACTTGAATTAATTAATTGATACAACGAAGAAAACGATCACCTTATGCAACCGAAAACCGATTGCAAGTGAATACTTATAGATTGAAAAAAGAAACTGAAAATCTTCTCTAAATCAGCACTTCAGACTGCTCTCAAAAATTACTTCATATTTCCAATCAGGTAATTCTGCTTATGTTATCACATGAACGAAATTTTGTAGAAAGAAAATTATTGTAAAATTTAGTTAATACTTAAAATCAACGATACTAAAAATTTGAATATGTATTAAATTTCTAGAATATCTTAAAGTCTGTGAAATTTTATTGAAATATTTTCTACATTTTTTAGCTTGATTGAAAGAATTTTTCATAGTTGTATTCATATGTTTGCATATATTACCAAAATAAAGAAATTCGATCTCAAGAATGGTAACTATTATTGCGATTGACAATCAGTTCTCTTACTTTTTAGCAGCAGCAAGACTACATATAAAAAGTATTTCTTCTAAATTATTAATAATTAATCTTGGTGATGAATACATTGTATACCAACATGTAAATCGACATAATAGAATTAAAAATATTAATTTATGACCTTGAAGAAATTTTAAATAAGCTAAATCACCAATAATAGCCAATAATGTTTGAAATAATGTTGCTGAATTAACTAATATTGTTACAGTATCAAGATGAAATAGAGCTAAAAATCGATAGATTAATGAAATAATAAATGGATAAAGATAACTTCTTATAGCAATATTTGATTTCCATTCCCATGTTTTATAACCATAACCAAAAGCAAGTGAATGTGCTATTTCAAATGTTTGCCAATATTCATCAGCAATAAAATATGTCCGCACAATAACCCAAGAAATTAAACGAAATATAATAATACTAATTAAAATTTTTGGTGTTGTATTTAATAACATCTGCAAAATAGAAATTGATTCTTTTAATTCTAAATTATATTCATTGTACGAGAAAAATTTTTTTTTTTTGTCTCCTATTCAAAAAATAAATACGAGATTCTCTTCAATCATATAAAGAGAATAAAGAAACAAAAATACTTAAATTTTATACAGATAGTCAATTATCTGACAACAACAAATCATAATAATAATAATAATCGCAACATACTCAAGAGAAAAATTATGTTTTAACTACTTGTAATGGATCAACACGAATTCTAGAAAAATCAATATTTTTATTAAGTTCTTCATCAATTTCACCTATGAAGGCAACATTATCACCACGTATTATATAAAGATTAAGAAGAATTTTTTTTCTACACTTTCTGTTGCAAAAAATACACGTTTCTGACTATCAACTAATATTAACTTTATAGTTTGATCCAAGTCACATAATGTTCCAATTATAATGCATCTATCCAATGTAATTAGATTTATTGATTTATTTGTATATAAATCAAATACAGGCATTATTTTTGTTAGTTCTATCGCTAAAAATGTTCACTCTAAAACTACACAGAATCTATATAATATAGAATAAAATAGAGTTGCATTGTGGAAACAACAAATTTATTCAATTCGTTGTCATCTCTGTGAATCAAATAAATAGATAATCATATATCATTTGGTGAAAAATATCGTTAACTAATAATAATAAGTCTCTCAATTGAAATATTATAAAATAAAAAAATAAAAAATAACTTTGCATTTTTCAACTCGGACTTTTAAAGCTTTTATAAATGCAATATGCAATAGTTATTTTACCGAAAGAGGTCACTAGCAAGTTATTTGGGTTTCGTATAATTCTATGCGCTAGAGTTAGTATCATCCTGAAGGCAAAGATCAAGAGAATAAAGAATAGATTCAAAAATTTCTCTCGATTACTCGATTTTACCATTGAAGTGAGTGTAGGGAGTTAGTAAAGTGTGTTATTTTTCCTTTGAAAGCTTCTTGATACCTCTACATTTTCTTATTATAACGTTCAATGTTAACTCTAATTTAGATATTTTTCATTACATCTAGGCATTCATCCAAACTGTTTAGTTATTTTTGTCTGAATGACAAAAAATGCTCTTTTATACTGAACTACATGAGCACAACATTTTCCCGTCAGTAGAAGAGTAACGAAGTAGAATGAAACTAGAGCATACCAAAACATAGATTTTCATTTGTTTCAATCTCTTTTTAAACTAAACGGTTCGTTTGATTAAAAAAAGCAAATGTTCCTTCATTACTCGAATAAATATATTCACTTATTAGAATTGATACTCAATTATAAATTGACTTTTTTTTTTGTTAAATTGATTACAAATTTATGTATTTATTTGGAAACATATTTTTTTTTTGTTTGTTATGATCTGGAACAGATAATTGAATAAATATTTCAATGGAAATTATACAACTAAATTAAACGCATCATGTTGTTAAAGAGATCAGTAAAAGTCACATTAAAAATAAAGGAACATTCAGACAAACGAAAAAAAACAAACAAACAATCACTGTTGTTGTATTTGCTGTTGATGACTAGCAATAATTGCTGCATGTTCTCTTTTTAGACGTTCTATTAAATGAGCTTGTTCAGGTTTTCGAATTCCTTTCATTTCAAGTACTTTTTGAAAAGAACTTATATCTCCATCATTATTCATTAATTGTAAATAATTTTTAACAAATTGTCTAGGAGAATCATATGGTGTAAGAACGACTTTTAAGATCATTTCAGCACGTGTCATATTTTTTAGAACAATTTTTGTAAAACTAAAAAAAAAAAGAAAATAAATTTATTCAATGCAAACATTGAAGTTTAAAATAATAAATTTACTTTTGTGGTGGTTTTCGTGAAACAGTTAAATTAATCGATGGTAAATCAAGAAGAACTGTTTTTAGTGAATGTGTATCAAGTAAAAGTTGTTCAGCACCAATCGTATTTATTAGTTTACAACGATATAGATGATTGATAAATTTTTTAATAAATGAACTATAAGAAATTATTTTATATATATATATATATTTAAAAGGTATTCAAAAGGAAACTAACTCAACAAACGTTGTACAAAATTGTATAAAATATTTTCGTGACGATCCCAAGTGATTACGTATAATAGGAACAATTGATTTTAAATGATTAATAATTGTTGTTACATATAATGATTGATCACCAACAGTTTCAATAGTTTGCCAAGATAACTATACAAAAAATTATACAAGAAATAATTTATTAGTGCTTATGAAAAAAAAAAAATCTTTGAAAATAAGAAATGATATTAAGTTAAACATTGCAGTCGAATCAAAAAATAATTTCATTATCAAATATAAGGTCGTCAATGTTCTACTAAAATTCTACTTTTATCGTATGAATAATTGAACACTAAATCTAAAAATCTAACTAATAGTTCAGTTTCGACGATATGCATTACAATCAGGATTCTCAATTAGGAAGATGGACTTTTCTCTACCTCTGAAATGCATGACTTTTGCTAGGTTCGTACAGCTTCATAGTTATTTTTGGCAAAATCCGAATTTTAAAACACCATTTGTTTTTCACAGGTAGAAAGTAAAATACAATTAAGCAGACAATGTCGTTACGAGACTCTTCTAGCACTTCAAGGATGAAGGCACTTCCTACCAAACTTCTAGTCGCTCGCACCTCTAAAAAATATAACAACTTTGATTTCAACAATAAAATCTGTAAAGCATCATTAAGATATTATGCAAATACTGCATAAATTGTCATTGAATGTTATACGCAGATCGACAAGTTCAGTTCTAGTTCGGATCTGAAGACGTGTTCTGAGCTAAATTGATCTGTCTAAACTATTTTTACGAAATTCATTTCAAGATATTAAAAAAAAAAACTTTTGTTTTATTACTGAAACGTGGTTTCTAAAAACAGAATCAAATTTTTCGAATAACTTCATCACTTGACCGATCTGTTCAATTAATCCGAACTTTGAATGGGTAGCTGATCAATTCCTCATGTTGTATTTATTAAATGTTTTTTCTTTATCTACTATGAAACTTTAAATTCTTGAAGGAAAATATTTGACATAAAATTCTCTTTCATATAACACAAACTAACCTTAGTCATTGCTGTCAATGCTGGTTCACAAGCATTTTCAAGATCTTGAATAAGTATTTGAATAGATTCAGCAATAATTCTATATAGAGAGAAAAAAAATTTCAAAAAAAATTTCTAATCTCATTGATTGTAAAATAAACATACACTTTAAAAATATTTCTTTCTGATTCAAATGAAATTTTATCAACTAATGATTTTGTTATTTTTTCTTTCATTTTATCTTCTAACTAAAATCAAAACAAAAAAAAACATTCACATGGTTGTTTTCTTTTGTTTTTTTCTTTTACTTGTTGTATTGTTTCAACACAATATTCAGCCGTACATAGAACACTACATGATCGACATATTTCTGCTTCATTTAATTTAGCTATTGTTTCACCTTCTTTTAACATCGATGGAATATTTGGTAAATTTTGTATAAATATTGTTGCTGTACCAACTAAAGATGATGCTGTTGTATTTGTTCTATTTAAAACAAAAACAAAATGAATTTTAGACAAAGAAAAAAGTAAAACAAGATAAACATTTTTACTTTGGCAAATTAGCTGTTAATACTCGATTAGCATATTCTCGAAGATATTTTTGAAATGTTTGAACAAGTAATAATAATGGTTGACCAGTACTTAATTTTGAACATTGTACAAGACAATTACGAAAATAAACAAATAAATCTGCACTTGTTGGTAAAACATTACTTGTATCTTCACCACCTTCAAATATTGGATAACCATCTTTTTTAAGTTCATCAACAAATTTTTGAATTTGATCACCCAAACTCCTATGAAAAAAGAATCATACATAGACAAGAGAAAAAAACAAAACAAATTAATGAGCCTTTACCGATCTAATTCTGCTATGTAAATATCTAAATGATCTTCAAAACATTGAGATATTATTCCTTGAAATGGTGATGATTTTGGTTTAAGGTTTGTTGCTAGATTTAAATCATCATTACCATTGATACTTGTTACTTTAACTATCAGAATAAACGATACATTAATTTGTTTGTTTTTTTATTTTGTAATCACAATGTATAGAGAATATGCATTAAATCTTATATTTATAGCATCTAACTTTTACAAAAATTGCAATCCTAGACTCTAACAATTTTGTTCATGAGTAACGCAAAATAAATAGGTCATTTTTGTTGGTTTAGTTTTGTGATACTTCTAAGAAGCTTCGAGAATTCATTCTAGACATATTCGATAGAAAACAAAAAGCTGTACAACAAGTATTGATTTTCCACATGAACTACTTATTTTATTCTCATTATAAAATTTGCAGTCAAGTATTTGATATGAACCGATACAAAACTTCAGACTCTATGTTTCTGTATTTGTTTCAAAATTTGTTCTACTATAATTCAGGAGAAAGAAACTTCTAACTGAGAGACAGCAGTGCTTTCAAGAAAATTGAATTTTTCAAAACGAGAATTTCAGTCTAAAAAATTTATTTTCACATTGTTTACTATCGAACTCAATCGTACACATTCTAAGCTCTTACAATCTTACAGATCTATCAACAAAGTGATTTTTTTTCTCACTATTTACATTCTTTAACTCAAAAACGTTTCTAATTAATTTGTTTTCCGAAATTTTCAAATTCGCATAATGAGATGCAATATTTTTATGAAGAATCTAATTTTGATATTTTAGATTTCTAGAAAACTGTTCCAAAGAAAAAAAAAACAATCTATCATCAATGATATTGACAGTTTTCAACCGAATAAGCTTATAACAAACTCTCACAGCTTCTTATAAACACCTCAAAAACAAAAGTAATTCGTTTATTCTATGGCAATCGTTACATACAATATAAATTTGAGATCCAGTCATTACTATTCAGATACATTAACTGAAGAAACTCAGTATGTATTGCATTTTTTTTGTTAGAAATATGAATATAAAACTTACCATTAAGATGACTAGTTATTGGATTACTTGAATGATCCAGTGTATTTCCTAGAAAACGTTTTTCAACAATCGTTTCAAATCCAACAGTTTTCTCAATAGCAAATCGTAATAATTTAACATCAATTTCATTTTTACGTTTAAGCATTATATTTCCTAATTCACGTCTAAAATTAAAAAAAAACAGATTTTAATTATATTTTAAAATACAAAAAAAAGAACAAATAAACAAAATTAACCTTGTTATTTTACAAAATTCAACTGTTAAACGTTCAGCCATTTCCCAATGAACAGGAAATATTCGTGAATACTTTTCATCGTATTCAACCAGTGCACGTTTTAACCAAGCATATCGACGATCAATTTTATCTAACCATGCTAACTAAAAAGAGCAAAAATGAAATAATAATGTTAATCAAATTATTTTATTTTGCTTTTTTTTTTATAAATACCTCTTGAGATTCTTGATATAATATTGTATATTCAGATAGATGTGTTTTTAAAAACCAATTTATTACTTCTAATCTATAAAGAACAAAACAAAAGAAAAACACTGAATGATAACAATCAAATATTTAAATAACAAACCTTAATTTAGGATCAATAACATCAATTATTTTACATACATCTAAAAAATGTTGATTTGGAGTAAAATTCTGTATAACAAAAATAAAAGATTTCATTCACTGAAAACAAAATGTTTTGAATAACTAACTTTTGCATTTGGACCATTAAATGCATCTTCACACTCTTTTCGAACTTGTACAGTTATTTGAGCAGTTAATTCTTTAACACTAAGTAAAAAATAATCAAATTTTATTTGTATAAAGAAATTTATGGAGTGAAAGTATTTTTGATTATCAATTTTTTTCCAGCTTTCATTTCGCATTATTACTTGTCATTTAAGTGTAGATGCTGTTTAAAGCTAACGAAAACTTTAGTCTGACACTTTTTGATGTGTTCACCCTCGCTTTGTGGCTTTTCCGACTGTCATTCAGATTAATTAATGTCTGCACCAGAACTAAAGAGGGATGGATGTAAGCTCAATAACTCGAAAATGGCAGTAGTTGATGACTTACGTATTTCAGAAATCTAAAGAAGAGAAATTCGAACATCTTTTTGTCTGATACTATATGAGATAAATATATTTAAAAATACATCATCTTCTAAAAGCATGCAAAAAAATCCATGAAAACAGCGCTTTGTTTCAAGAAAATTTCGATAAAAGTCAGCAAATTTGCTATAAATCAAAAGAATTGATGTATTTTGGTTTAATAGATATGTAATTTCGTTTTTTCAACATTGAGATGTGAGAAGATAATCTCCTAAACCATTCCTTTTAACTCTTTGGGGACGGAAAGCACATATACATATGTACTTCGATTCTAATACAATCAGTATGTGACTTAAGTAAATCTCTCATGATACTATATTGGAAGATATGACAGTATAGATCATACATTTATCATTTCCGATGGGTGTGGCTGTAGGTGTGCCTGTGGAGTGCGGGTGTGGCTGTAGGTGTGCCTGTGGAATGCGGGTGTGGCTGTAGGTGTGCGTGTGGAGTACGGGTGTTCTTCTGGCAATCACATCCACAGCTACAACACAGTCACAATACCTTCACACTCAAACCCAAGCCCAACCCACTACCACACCCATACCCTATATTCACAAATAAACGCATTGTTCAGTACTTCAAAAAATTTCTTCTTTTGCTTCAGTTATTCCATCCTCAAAGGGCTAAACTATAAATTTGAAGTTCTTCTACCAGTAGAAGATGTCTATATCAAATAAACATCGAAGCAGAATACTATTTTCATGTATTTTAGTGAATTTTTTCCGACGATGACGGATTTTCAAATCATGTTATCTCATTTAGGATGAGACAAAAAGATATCCATAGATCTCCTTCTTCAATTGCTGAAAATCACAAGTCACTAACTATTGCCATTTTCATGTTATTAAGGTCACACCAACCCCTCATTAATTCTGGCATAGATATTACTTAAATTTATCGTTGGCCTGAATAATAATCAAAGTGTAATGTACAAAACAAGTAATATTTATTACGAGATTAATCTAAGAAGCAATATGTATAGTACTTCTCCAAATAAGTGACACCACGTCACCCACACCCTTTTATGTTCTCTGTCACTTAGACTAGCTAATGTATAAGATTTCATCGATCTAGAGCAGCGCCATAGTTTTTAATGAGTATGGAGTTCTTCTATAGATATGCGCACTCCATTCACTAATTGCTTTCATCATCGATTATATTTGTTCGGTCCATAAAAAAAACAAAATGCTGCATGTAGATGACGAATCGTGTAGTTTGTCTAGAAGCACTCAAGAAGAGATAATGACAAATTACTAGTCGAAAAAAAAGTAATAATCAACTGGCTTTTTTTCTGGTGATCAAAAGTTATTTTTTCTCAATTTATTTACTTTGTAGATAATTCTTGTATTTGTGGAATGTTAATATATGGTTGAAAATGTTCTAATACACTTATAACCGGATGAAGTAAATTAGCTATATCACCATAAGATTTCTTTTTTATAGCAGCTCTAGAAAAAAAAATTCAAAAGAATAAATTTTATATTCTAGAAAACAAAGAAAAATGCTTGTTTTTATTTACTCAATTTTATCAATTCCTTCAATTAACATTTGTAGATGATTAAGTGTTGTTATCGAAGTCGTAAGATTCTTTTTTGCTACATCAAGTTGTTTTATATCTCGTGTTATTTCTTTGACCTAAGAATTTAAAAAAGTTTGCTTTGGAAAGAAAAAACTAAATTCATCAATGAATTCATGCTTTTACCATTTCTTCTGATTTGTCAGCTTTATCTTTAATTTCACGCATTTGTTGAAATAATAATAAGATGGAATTTTGTGCTTCTTCTAATGCTTTGTGTTCATCAATTTCTGTATCCGAATGACCACGTATAGTAAAACGAATATCAGTATCCAATGCACGTATCTTTGACTTTACACTTCCAATAACTTCATCAATATTTGCTAGAGATTGTTCCGTTGGAAATAATTGATTTATATAATCAACTGGATTAAAATCGACTCGATCGATCTCATCGGTACTTGGTAATATCTACACACAAAAAAAACAAACAAAATAAATTATCGAACTTATAAAATTTATTTAGCTAATTAAATTCCTTTAAAATAATGATAATCTCTAATTGAAAATACCAAAAACATATTGAATTTTATTACGAATAAAAATAATACGGTAATAGTTGTTCAAGCAAATTTACAATGGAAGTATTTTAAACAGTTGTTACGGTACTGGATAGTGAGTGAACAGAGACATGCAGTATTAGGATAAATACTAAACAATGAATTATCGATATAAACTCTATCAAAATGCGATTCTTTTTGTAACGGTGTCTTCCTATGCTTCAGTGAATATTGGTGTCAATATTCACTGACTACATTTAGTTCATAGATCCACGAGAAATCAAATTTATCCTATTCTACTTTTATTCTTACACATCTTTTAAAGCTGTAAGAATATTTTGGTTGTTTTAGTTTCTTTAGTCCCCTCGGTCTATTGAAATATGCATTAGGGTGAAGAAACTACGCCCATACATACACACCTAACAGGACTAAAGAATGAAAAATATGAAATTCATAGTAGCTTGAAAAACATAAAAGTAAAACGGGATAAATTTAATTTGTCGTAGACCTTTCATATTGAAAAAAAACATACAGCAAATATTGTTCGAGTTTCAAAAAAGTTGCTTTTTACGTTTTCGATTAGTGTATTCAATCTCTTTCTTGGTAGTTCTGCTTTTGAAATCAAATAACTCTCTATAGATTTTTCTTCAAGCAATAAAAGGAATATAAAACTTAAAAACAAATGATCTCACTTGATCAATCACTTTTTGTACATCAGCTGGTAGTACAAGTGTATCATATCGATCATCATCAGCATCAAAAGTATCATCATCTACATCTGCTCCATTAGTGGTAGCCATCTAAAAATCACAATAATTGTAATCTTGTCTTTATTTTGTATATTAATATGTAAAAAGGAAAATAGCTTTACTCTGAAAAAAATACTGGCATTTTTTTTTAAAATTTACAGATGGAAAAAAAATAAAATTCAAATAGCTATATTTACATGAGAAATACTAAAAAAAAGAGATTAATATATATGTCACTTGGGTTTTTTGAATAATAACACAAAATAAGAAAACACACACACACAAAAAAGAATTTTACAAATGAGTTTTTAAATGTTCCTTGCTTTTTTATGTTTATGATCGAAATATTTTTGCCATCCAATTCTTCATTAATGATAAAGGTTTAGTTGTAAATACATATTGTGAATGACAAACATGTTCTTTATTTGTTGCATGTTTTTTTGTTGGTGATGCTTGATGACGCATCCGTTCACGATCATGACTACGTTGGAATGTCCAACGCCATGGATGTCGATTGGCTTCGTGTTCTTCTTCTTGTTCAGTATTATCCATTCGAGCTCGTTCACGATATTGTGCACGTGATCGAACCCATGTAGCATATGTTGATTGTGCTTTACGAAATGATGAAGAAAGATGTTCAACGCCACGACGTAATGCTATTTGAATTTGTTCAGCTGTTTGTGAACCAGAAATATCCGATAGTTTTTGTTTACTTTGTTCCATATATTCATGTCCATGATTAACAAAATCAGTGAGGGATGCACTTAAATGTTCGAAAAAATCAGACACATTGATTGAAGTATTTTCTGCTATTGCAGCAGTTTGTTTGATTAAATTACTAAGTAGCACATCCAAAGATGATGCAGATGATTTCGTGCACTGGATTTGCAACAACAAAATAAAAAGCTTTTAGTGTTGATACAAGTTCGTATTTAATATTTTACTTACATCAACTCCTTCAGGACATGTTTCTTCTTCTTCTCTTGAACTTTGTTCTTCGACTAATTGTACACGATGTTCTAATTCTGTAACTTGTTTTTGTAATTGTTCATTTTCATCTGATAGCTATAAATAAAATTCTAATAAACATCAAAATCGAATCAAGTTCTTTTCATTACTTGATGAATCATATTTGTTAAATTTTCTTGTGTAAAATTTATTATTTGATAAAGTTCATTGATTTTTAAAATCAATAAATTTTTTTCATTATTATATTCAATCATTTTTTGATTAATCAACATTTGAAATTTTTCTTCAAACTAAAAGATAAATACAAAAAATAATAATCATTTTCTTAGTATACTTTTCTTTTTATGACCTTGTTTGTTAATTTTTGTTCAATATCATCATTTGAAACAAATTTTATTTTATCCAAACGTTTATTTGTATCACGTAATTCTTTAGTAATTTTATTTATTACTGATCGTTCTATATTAAACAAAAAACTCAACTTTATTAAACTTGATAAAATCTTTAAATCATACGTGATAAAATAACTCGACCAAGAATTATTTGTAAAATAAAAATAAAAATCAAGAATCCATAAACACCAAATGAATTATTTCGTCTTAGACGATAATTATTTTTCGTAACAGGTACAAGTTCATTTCCAACTGTTAATAAAGGTTGTTCAACTATTTCAATGAAAAATACCATTTGAGTTATTTTTTTGTTTGAATTCAAAAAAAACTACAAACCTGCATGTTGAACATAAGCACCGGTACGTTGTCTACATAAATTAAACTTCTCATAGAAATTCATATTAAAATAAACTTACCGAAAATTATTTGATGAAAGATTTGATTCATTACTTAAATGTAAACAAAAATAGAATGACAAAAAAAAAATCTAATTTTTTGAATACTTTATATCACATCCAACATTAAATAAATCATATTCATTAAATATTGGACTCGTTTCATTTTCATTATCATGTTTAATCATGATTTCAGATGATAAAATTTCTTCTTTAATTTCACTTGTTAATAATAAATCATTATTATTATTATTATCATTACTTGAATTAGTTAACACCGGATCTTCAATTATCAAATGACTTTCCTGTTGATCAATATGATCATCAGTTTGTATAGGTTCATCTCTATATAAAACATAAGTAGGTTAAAATAAGATTTTTTATTTTTAGATTTAAATATTCACTCAATCGATGAAAGCGATGATAAAGAATCACTTCGATTCGATTTTGATGAACTACTACTACTATTACTTGATGAGGAACTTAAATTTAATTGTTCATGATCAACAAGATTGACAGCTCCATGAAGAATCTTCAATATGAAAAGCGAATAAAATACAAAATTTATAGAAACTTTAATATTTTTTACATTATTTTCTGGTGATGTTTGTCTTAAAAAGACCCAATCATCTTCTTCACGATTAAATTCATCTTCATTTGATGCATACATATTGAAAACTTGTCTTTATGAAAAATATTATCAATTGATTTAGATCTTTCTTGCTATATATATATATACATATATAGGGAGAGAGAAAAGCTCGTGCTTCCAGAAAATATTTCATGGAATCAAGTGACTAAAGAGGGTAGCATGCTACATCTGATTGGATAATATCTAATTGCATCATTTTGTTATTGTGCTCAAATGAATATGCGTTTTGACATTCGAAATAGACGCTTTAAACGTGGCAAGGTGTTTCACAAAGATGATGTGTCTTTTTTGTTGGCATTTATGCATTGGACGTTTGCAATGCATAACAAATTTCCAACTGAATCATCTTTTGTTTTATTAATAAGAAGAAAAAATCAGCTGAGAAAACACTGATTCTACAATATTTTTTAATTTCATTATTTAGATATATAATGAAACAATAAATCATAGTAAAATAATAATTAATAAAAACAAACTATTACTAATTATTATTTAATATTATGATGAAAATTATTTTTGATGAAACAAGAACAATATAGACTATTTGAATAACAAACAATTTTGAAAATAATGATCAAATATTTTTACTATTGTCATTTCAAAGTTACATATGCTACAGTACTAAGACTATACTGTTAATTAATTACTAATAAAAACTGAATCAATAGTTTATTGAATTTAATATAAAATATCATTGTTTTTATTAACTGGTTAATTTGAAATAGTTGTGAACTTAGGAAATTGTATTGAATAGTTTTGTTGTCAACGTATTCATATACGTATTATAATAATTAAATCAAACAAATATCATATGAACAGTTTATGTAAAAGATTATTTAGTAAAGAATGAAGAAGGTTTTCTAATAGAAGTGAGTTTTGAAATTATTATTGTTGGTTTTTTTTTCTATCAATCTTATTATTCATAGCATTGCATTTTCGGTTATCTTAATAATGATGTTGTTGGTACACTATGAATTTACTGAGACAAAAAAAAATGAATTTAAAACAAATATGTGATAGAATTCTTTTACAAAACATGCTATATTCAATATTGATAGTGTTTTCATCATTTTCTTTTGTATCTTCTCAATAGTCAATATTAACATATATATATGAAAAACTAGTAATCGATTTCCAACGTTTATATTATGAATACAGGTATACAATTTGCTTTGAAATCTATCATTATTATCTTTTTTAGAAGCACATATTTTAATTTTTCACTTTTATTCAGATAGAAAAGAATTTTCTTTTCTATTTAACGGAAATCAAACAATATTCATTTATTCTCATTGTATAGAGATGTTAAACATAAGTGGCTATTTATAGTAAGAGCTAGTACACATCAAAGCACTAATGAGGTAATTTTATAAGATTGTAAAAAGTTTTTGACCTCACTTTTGCGTATTAAGTAGAGAATCATTAGATTATGAAAGTCCTAAGATTATATGAGCACAGGTTGCTAATTACCCAAAGCATCGAAATTTCTCTTTAGGACCCAATTTTTCGGTAAAATCATAGTTTCGACTTTCGATCAAAAACTTTACACAAACATAAGCCTTAGTTTGACTAACTGAAAGAAAACATTTCATAAATTTTGAATATCATATTTCTAATATATCAACTTTTCAGATTTTTAGCACTTTTCCATAAAAAAAAACACATGGATTTTCGAAAGCTAAATATTTTCTAGTTGTGATAGACAAAATTTGTGAGACTTTTTCTATAAGTTAATCTAACTAAGACTGCCATTTGCGTAAATTTTTTGATCGAAAGTCAAGAAGGTGATACTACTGAAAAATCAAAGTCCTGCAGAAAAAATTTGATCTAAGCTAACGAGCGACGTCTTAGAGCTTTCAAAGTCTAAAGATTCCTTGATTAATTCACAAAAAACTAGGTTAGAAAGCTTTATAGCATCTGAGAAGGTTTCCTTGTTAGTTTTTCTCAATCAGTCAAGTCCCTAGAGGAATATGAGTGTCATATTTTACAATATGCTATTGTCGAGATCTTGATGAACACATTTTTTTTCTTTGTTTAGAAATCTTATTCGTTTCAAGATTATTGCTTATCGAAAACAATAACTTATATAAATACATTTGATGAATCATCATTACATATTTATTTACTTATTTGTTTATGAAATCCTTTCATCATGTTTAGATTATCTTTAAAAGAAAACAATATATATTTTAGTATTAAATAAAAAAAAAACAATTAAGTTATAAACTTTTTAGATTTTAAGAAATCTTGTTTACGAATGGCACGTTTAGCCGGTAAAGTAGCATGTGTAACAGCATCGACTGATGGGTAAGATAATTAAAATCGAAAATGAAAAGAAAAATTACAATGTTCATTTGTTTAATTAATATAAAGAATTGGTTTTGCTATTGCTCATCGATTAGCTCGTGAAGGTGCTCGTGTTGTTATTTCGAGTCGTAAACAAGATAATGTTCAAAAAGCAGTGAATGCATTAAAAAAAGAAAAATTAGATATCTATGGAACTGTTTGTCATGTAAGCAAAAGTGATGATCGAAAACGTTTATTAGATGAAACAATAAAAACATATGGTAAATTAGATATATTAGTATCCAATGCTGCAATAAGTCCATCAGTTGGAAATATTTTAGAAGTAAACAGAAAAAA